CTGCCCCGCCCCGCCCCGCAGAACTTGCCGGACCAAAGTCGAAGGTGACTCTTTTCCTGAGTGGCCCCGTAGCTTACCCAGCTCACTAAATGCTTGCGAGCCGTCTCTGGACGGAGCAGTTGTGACTGTCCTGGGGGAGGAAGGAAGGGCTCCAGCTGTGCGTTAAGGAGTGGGAAAGGAAAACCAAAAATAGAAAGCGGAGCACTTCAATCTGCCCTGCATCGTCTTTACCGAAGAAAGACCCCACTTCCTAGCAGAATTTTATAATTCACCGTGGTTCCTCACTTATGGCTACATCTTGTGGACTTACCCAGCCGCTTCGCGGTCTGATAAATGAATCTCATTGAACGTCTGTGGGATGTAGGAGCAAAAAGGTTGGCCTACACTTGAAAGAACCCCCCCAAAACCCTGATGACATAGCTGTGCTGAGGTGACATCTCATGTAGACATAGGTATGTCATCATTTGGAGAGATTGTGTTCCTAACTTGATAAGGGAAAAAGCCTTTCTGCATTTAGGATGTTAAATTGCAGTTAATTGACTATCCCAGTTTGCTGGGGCTCTTGTATATTTCAAAGGAGGAATGGGCTGCATGTGGGTGCCTGCTTTGAAATGTACAAGAGTTCGCCAGTGCCAGCTCTTGTGCATTTCAAAGCCATGACGCCTGGGGTCAGCGGGGGACTCAGAGTCCCCTGCTGGCCCCGGGCTCCATGCTGCACTGCATGGAGAGCCCCAACAAACTCCCCAGCTCATCTGGGGTTCATCTGAAATGCCATGCGGAGCACGGGGTCAGTCCTTAACATACTTTATTCTGCATGTACACGAGAGGAGCTATGCTGATATGACTATAGCGGGAGGATCTTCAATAGCGCAGGCCACGCCTATGCTACAAAATTATGTCAATCTGACTTAAGTTCACGTATAGCCACTTCAGTTGTTAAATTGCAGGGTGTACATACTTACCAAGAGTGCTTGTGTTGATTGTATTGTCAATGTGGGAAATTGTGGAACAGCTCTTGATAGGCAGTATCAGTTGATATAAATGGTTCAGTATCTGTATTGATGCTAAATTGACCTAATTACATTGATTGTGATTCAGTGCCACTTGTACAGAGACATTGAAGTCAGTGGGAGCCAAATTTAAGTGAAGACAATGATCTGGTCTATACTATATGGTTAGGCCAGCATAAGCTGCCTTGCTTCGATCTACCTATAAATATGTCTTCACTTAAATTTGGCTCCCCCTGACTTCAGTGTCTGTACAAGTGGCACTGAATCACAATCAATGTAATTAGGTCAAGCTAGCATCAATACAGATACTGAACCATTCTTTTCTTTGTTTTTAAACCTGTTGTGTATTAATTCCATTTGGTAACATCCCCCTCCCCTTATGATTTAGTGAATTTGTTTGGTTTTACCTATACTTAGAAAGAGTTTAAGCTAAACCAAAAAAAAAATCATGCTTATTTATATAAGACTTTCCACACAAGAGTTATACGTAGAGCCCTGCAAATCTGTAGATATCTGCTTTGTATCTTCAGGTATCTGCATCCATGAATGTAGATGCAGGGATCAGTGGCATACTTTTGCGGATGTGAATACAAATTTTGTGTCTGCACAGGACTCTAGTTATACAAGTACAATTAGGTGAAACTTTCCTGTGTAGAAAAGATGCAAGTGACTCAGGAGCATAAGTCCCACCGTAAAGGCATTATTGGGACTTGAACCTCTAAATCATATCAGGTGCAATTGAAAATCCCATATGCAGCTTTTTGTACAGCACTGTGGGAGACAAGGAACGGAGGAATAAAATCCATAGAAAAATCACTTTGAATAATAGTTTTGAAACATACAATACATGGAGAGACAGTTTTCACTTCCAAAAGGAACAGAATCAGAATTGACCGTTATAAACCACTGGATGCACCCTAAACACCTACTGTGTCAAGCTGTTTTTCTGGTAAAGTTGTGATAGTTAGCAAAGGCCTGATAGTTTTGTTTTGAATTATAGGTTGAAGACTTTGGGCGACAAATCAAGGGATGCAAAAATAAGCAAACAAAGGTATTTCTGTATGCTCAAATATACAGCTTTGTCATAATTTTATTTATAAAAAACCATTGTTTAAATATAGCTAATATACTTTGGCAAAACTGTTCATGTGATACGTTATTTCAGTGTTGTTTTACATAACACAGACATTTAATGGAGACTATACTGCTGCTCTAATTGACAAGAGGACTATCCAAAACCTATAGTTTCATAGAACTCTCTTGTTCCCATTTTTATAAAGTAGCTATTTTTGGTTCTCCAAACTCAGTATAAAGATTGATGTTTGCTGTGCCTAAATTATATTGTCCTTTATAATATAGTAAATTATACAGTATCAGTGGCCAAAACATTTATATTCAATTTATTATCTTTCTATATGTGAATGCCAAGTACCACAATTGTTCTTCCTATATTATGTTTTGAAGTATAAGAACAGAAGTAAGAGTCTTTGGTTGCTTAAAAAAATAACAAAGGGATGATAATTGCTGAAGAGAAATCATAAATCATTCTGCAGTATAGTTGAAAATAACTTCAATTATGTTTCTCAAGTCAGCATTTTAAAATGTCACTGTTTTCAGTGTGAACAAATGGCATATTTGTACAATATTCAACTAAAGAAAAATATAATTTGCTTTATAGTTAATAACATCTCAAATATAATTTGGTTGTATTTCGTTCAGGGAGGAGTGTTACAAATTTCCTTTAAAAACCCAAACAGAGGACTTTTAAACCAATTAAATTAATTGTTGCATTCTTGCAATTCAGAAGTTAACATTTGGAACATCTGTTTTTTTATAACTAAAAATTTGCAAGTTAGTTATCCATAATGTCGGCCAAGGCTAAAATATGTTGTTGGAGGAAGGTTCAGTTAGTAATTTTAGGAAACTCCCTTCTGTTTGTAAGTGCTATAGTGGTACAAATACAAGTTGAACCTCTCTGTTCCAGCAACACCTATGGTCAGGTAGGACCAGAGAGTCCTACCTGCAGAGTTTCTAGGCTGTGAGGGGAGCTGATCTTGCAGGGGGCAGCCCGTGGGGCTAGCAGCCGAGAGCGGAGCCAGGAGTGGAGCCTCCTAGCCAAGAGTGGAGTGCAGTGGAGCCTCCCATATCCCCAGGGGCCTGATCTGACTTCTGTACCACTTATGCCGCCAGACCCTTGCCCTGAAGGACCCAGGCAATGCTGGCTAAGTCTTTTAGTACTTGCTATGACATAAGATCAGGTCTCACTTTTTCAGAAACATTGGGTTAGAGCAGGGATGGGCAAAATTTTTTGAAGTGGCCCTGAGCTGCCTGATAGGGGCAAGGCCTAAACTGGAAGGGGCGGAGCCAGGATGCTTCTGGGCTTCCACGTCCCCGTTGCCCCTCCTTTCCACTAGGCACCCATGCCCCTGGCAGAATGGGAAGAGGCTTTGCATGCTCCCCCACCCCCAGGGCAATCAGGGTTTGGGGGCAGAGAAGCCTCCCTTTCTCCCCTCCCTCCACCCCCAGGAGCCCGCGGCACTTCAAAGTGCCACATGCTCCTCGCAGGGCAGGAGGAGGCTTCACACATTCCCCCTGTCCCCAGGCCAGTCAGGGCCTGAGGGCAGGGGAGCATGTGATGTCTCCTCCTGTCCGGGAGCAGCATATGGCGCTTCAAAGTGCTGTATGGTCCTTCAGGGCAGGAGGAAGCTTTGCATGCTCCCCCACCCCCAGGCCCTAATTGGCCTGGGGGTGAGGGAGTGGCATGGCCTCCATGGACTGAATCAACCTGCTTGGCGGGCCGGATCTGGCCCACAGAGGCCCTTTTGCTCACCCCTGGGTTAGAGCAATCTTAAAGCTATATTAGTCTCTCGCCAGGTGAACACAAATATGACTTTAAACCGCATTTGCTTTCTCCCTATTGGCCAGATTCTGAAGCAAATCTAATCAGCTTGGTCTCTGAGTCTAACTAATAAGCAACTGTTGTCATGTTATTTACATCACATATGCCATCATTCAAACGTATAACTGCTGTTTCAGTCCATTCTGAGAGTCTCAGGATCTGAAGTGAGGAAAGCTGTGATGTAGTACAATGCAGTTACAAAGTGTGGTCTTGCTAATATTTAGTATGTGTTAGAAGCATTGTAACTATCATTGTTTTCATATTAAGCTTATTCTTGCTGATAAAATATACTTAAGCTATTGGCTAAAAGTTATAGCCAACTAATTGACTATACTTGTGATTCAATATTAAAAATCTTTAAGAAATCTAATAACCAAGCTAAGTCAGATTTTTTTTTTGTCAAAAGACAAGGTATTAACAGTATAGAAAGGAAAGAGTAAATACATCGATCTTTCCCAGGAAGCATAGTTTTGCAGTGTGTTCAGAACATCTTACACAGGAGATGAGCTCCCAGAATGCCACTTAAACTTTAAGTGCCTTGAACAGTGAATGCTGTGCACCTTATAAACAGCCACTCTATAAACAGATGCCTAGTTTAACTTACCACCTTGTATAATGCAATAATGAGTGGGGGAAAAAAGGAAAATGTTGGATCGATATCAGCTTGGCAGTGAAATTTTGTAGTTTTGTTTTTTTATGTTCTTGTAAAGTAGATTGCTTAGTATGTTTTGAACTAGGCTAGACCAAATGGTAGCAAATAGGCAGTGATTAATCCTGCACTGACAAGGAGATGGATTGGATGACCTTTTTCTCTTCCATTTTTAACTTGTGTAATTGTATGATTCTATTTACAGAAGTGTTCAGTATTTGCCAAAGTTTTCTGCTGGATTGGAATTGCTCAGCAGGTATGTCCTTTGATTTTTAATCTAATGTATTTTTCAGTTGGTTTCTTTCTCCAGTCAAAATATTACAGAAGGAACAAGTAGTAAATAAGATAATAAGAAAATGAAAACTCTGTATTGATTGCAGGTTCTGAATGATATATAGTAAATACAGCAAGTATGTATGTGCTTCTAATTGAATAGTGAGGACAGATACATGGGACAGGTGCCTCAAACACAGATCATCCTGTGCACTGAATGAAGCAGGAATATTGTGAGGTGGGGGAATGCTATGTGATCATATAATTATGTTAAATAAGAATCTCATAAAATTCGATTGCCCAGGCAACCTTAATTTTAGCATTTCCTAATTTAAGGTTGCAAGAGCAAATATTCATTCTACTATATTTCAAATCCAACAGTTCTTCTAACCTATCTCTGTGTAAATATATACTTAGGTTCCATGAATTAGATGGCAATAGTTATACAATGATCCAATTAATATCCCCTCAATCTAATTCTTTGGGTCCCAGTTATTTAAGGGACAGCTCCTCTCCCCCCCCCCCCCCAAATCAGGCTTCCATGCCACCTTTCAAAACCAGTTTATTAGAAGCTGCTCCAGAAATCCCTATAAAAGGAGTTTGCTTTGAAAGTAAAAAGTTTTTAGTTGAAAGCTTTAAATTAACCTACAGTATCTCAAGTCACTTTCCTTCCTTTTAGTATGAAGTGATTCTGAAATCTTGTCTCAGTAAGTGGTAACTAAGTTTA